TAATCTTTAGAACTAAATAGCCTCTTCCAAACTGGAATTTGAGCCTCAACTTTAAAATATAGCAAAGTATGATCCTACCAAATTGCCGCAAGTAGAAAATTAAAGAATCTTTATTCATTTAGGCCCTTTCCTGGATACTACCACTTGTATCACCAAACCATACAGTTAAAACAATTAGATAAACAAGATGCTAGAAATATTTGACTTTACAGTAGAAACTGTCCGACAGTGTTTGGAAGACTTTTCCTAAAATGATCTCAAGTCCCAGCTTGATCCAGTTATTTCATAGTAATAACATTTTGAAAATTCAACAAAACAATGCTGTATGTAATGGCTTTGGACTTTTTAAAAAATTGTGCATGCTTGTGTCTTTACATATGTGTGCATGCTTATGCATTGCACACAGAGGCTAGAAGAGGGTGTCTATTCTTTTTTTTCAGGCACAGTCTCTACCCTGTACTTGGGGCTGCCCCTCAGCAGGTTTGAACCCGGCAAGCTACAGAGATTCTTTATTGGGGGAGGGGGGCACAGATCTTTTTGAGATGGGGGGGTCTCCCTGTAGCTCCAGCTGGCCTGAATTAGCTATGTAGCCCCAGGCTGGTCTTGAACTCACAGAGATCCATCTGCCTCTGCCTCCCAAGCACTGGGATTAAAGGTGTGCGAAACCACACCCAGCTAAATTGCAAAGATGCGCCATCTCTCTATTCCTGGTAATTGGATTTTGGACAATCCATACTATCATAAAATCTAAATTTCATGCTAGTTTTTTTTCATGGTCCAGCTATAAAACAGCTTATAAAATACAGAGCCTAGGGGCTGGAGAGATGGTTCAGTGGTTAAGAGCACTGACTGCTCTTGCAGAGGACCTGGGTTGGATTCCCAGCACCCACGGCAGCTATGAACCATCTTTAACTCGAGTTCCAGGGGAATCCAAAGCCCTCTTCTATTATTTTTATTTAAAAAACACAGGGTCTAAATAAAATAAGAGGAGATTTAGAAGGTTATAATCTAATCTAATATTTCTATTCCATAGATTAAAAAAAAAAAAATCCAAGCCGGGCATGGTGGTGCATGCCTTTAATCCCAGCACTTGGGAGGCAGAGGCAGGCAGATCTCTGTGAGTTCCCGAGGCCAGCCTGGTCTCCATTAGTGAATCCAGGCCAGCTGAGGCATAGGGAAACCTTCTCTCAAAAAGACACCACCCC